TAAGCAAGGTTTACCTTAACCCCCCCCTCCAACAAAATTACGTCAGTGGCTCGCACTTTACGGCTGCCCAGGTGACCGGGGTGCAGTCCAACAACCTGCCCTCTCTACAGATGCAAATCATGTAAAGAAAGAACTCAAATTTGTGATATTAATTTTTTAAATGTGTTTTGTTTAGTTGATTTTTGTATTGAGTTCATGTTTTCATTTGTCAATAAATATCTGTACGGGTGTGTAATTACTGCTTTACTTAGCTCTCCTGCATTTTCTTTGTCAGTTTCAGTAGTTACAGGGCATGGAATGGTTTGTAGGAACAATACTGTGCTTGGGGTAAATATGGGTTCGATTTATGACGGCTCTCCAGGAAGCCTAGCAGCTCCGACCACTTTAACGAAATCGTCACGGTAACGTTTACTCACTGTCGTTGAATTAATATTAACCGCAAAGTATTCGGAAGGCAGCTGCAGTTTTCTGCAGTTTTCTCGGAGGAGCTGGGACAGATTACGGAGGAGGACCTTAGTGAGGATATCAGGTGTCCTGCCTACGCTGCCGCTACGCTAACCTGCCCCGGTATGCAGCTCCCTCATCCTGCGGCGGGACAGGGAGAGGCCGCAACACTCTGCTGCTGTGTGTGTTGCATAAAACAGTTATTTATTCATTCAATAAAGTTACATTGTAATTAAACAGATCGTGGCCTGCCGTGAGATGCAGCCACGGTCAATGTTGTAGGCATCGCTGAAATGAAACATGATGTCAGCGTTAAATGACGACGCCACGAGTTTCTTTTGTCGCAGGCGGCACGTCTTAACGGCCCTAGACGTTCATTTATGTGAATCGGTGTTTCTCAATCAGTGGGACTTGACTGTCGGTGTGCAGCGGCGGCAAGTGACCGGATGCTGAGAGCGGTAACGCGTCTGGCCTGTATTCCGGAAGTACCCGATTCGAATCTTGGCCTGGACATGAACTATCCTGGCTGTATTTCATGGCTTTCCTCGGTCCCTCCAGGTGAATATCTGCAGAGTATCTCGAAATAGAAACTACCTCTTCCTTCCCAGTCCTTTCAAGTTCACCTATCGCCATAATCCATTCACGATGTTCGATGCTAAGCAACGACCACAGTTCATACAGCATCAGCTAATCCGGTTGCAGTTAATCCGGATCGGAACATGGGAAATGCTGTTCAGTGTTCAGTACATACTGCAAAAGACACGTGGCATTTAGGCAGGCAGACGAGTCACTTGTCTGTTCAGACAGAACGTGACAGTCTCTTCAAACCTGCTTCATTACAAGCTCAACTTCTGAGTCTTCTATCTATGAATAAATGTACTTTTAAAAAAGACAAGTCCGTCCAATGTGACTATTTCAGTTTTCTCACTTGATGATTCACTAGCCTTACATGTTTCGATCCATTTGGATCAT